AAAGTGCTCTGTGTACTTATTGAGCCCCTTGAAGAATTAAAGCTTGTCGTTACAACTCGGTTCATTATTGATGAATTTGCAGGTGACGTTGGTGAAACTGGTGATAATTGTTCAGTATTAAGTGATGCCACTCCATAAAGTGAAGGGACACGGAATGCTTTGCTTGATCTATTCATATTTAGTGAAGGAAGAGGAAATGGCGATGTTGGAGATGGTATAACTGGTGCAATTATATTAGGTTGTATAGTTGTCTTGGTCGCTGATTGAGCTTTCGCTTTTTTACGTTCTGACAATTTATAGATCTCCTCTGCAAAATTCCTATGGAAAACTTCAAAGAAACATACAACGTTACAATGGTAAAAACGTTTTATAATGACAAAAGCGTTATGAAAAAAAAACAAATAGATAATTTACATTTGACTAGCGTTTCATGCAAAGGGCGCATTTCCATGGAGATAAGACGTTCATGAATATCTAAACATCTATCAATAATAAAGACCTAATAGATAAAAATAAAAATTAAGAATAAAGTGTCTTCAAGGTTCCAAATATTATATGAATCCAAATGTAAATGTATAACCAAACCTGCTCTTCAATTGCTTCCTTTAAACTATTTACAAATGTTTCTTTATCTGGATTAGATGCTAAAAAGTCCGAACTGAAAAATGCTTTTTTGTACATTGGCACACCGCCATTAACAGGTGCATCCACAGCACCATTTAAAGACATTGATAAAGGATTAGTGTTGATTTTATCTACAGGCTTTGCGGCAGTGAGATATGCATTATATTTAGCTTCAAGAGCTATCAATTCACGATTTTTCGCTTTCATGGCAGCAACAGCATTTTCAATCGGTGATACTTCGATCATGGTGACTTGAACAACTTCTGAACGTCGAAGTACTGTGGGAAAATGATCCTCGGAGACCAATATAGTTTTCTCAGTCCACAAGTCCAAGAATTCATTGGTTGATTTCACACCATCTGGATTTTTATTAACTGGTCGTGAAAAGCTAAAGGTATTTATTGAATTGTGTTCGTAATATGAACGAATAGCTGACGGCACGTTTC